TCTTTTGCACACCACATTCTCGGTACCTATAAGCCCCCCCACACTGCGTTAAACTTCTGGGACATGCAAGTCTTGGTCGCGGAGATCTAACCACGCACATAGTGGTTGTCAGCCCTTGTAAAGGTAAGAGCAATCCATTGTTTTCATGTCACTCTTTTGTTCCTTTCGTCTTATCGGGCTTCTTCTGGCTTTTCTCAAATCAACTTCGGCTCTAAAACTACAGCATGCAGTCTTCGTCTTGGCAGTGTGTGAAATGTGGGCATCAGTGACCGAAATAACTCCGAATAGAAATGCGATCCAGGTGACCAATATCTCGTAGAACATTTTCCTTTATACAAGTACAATTTATAGAGGATTGTTGCGTGCACATTCATATGGACTTTGATTCATGTGTAGCGTTTAAATTGGGACTCGGTTTCGTGCTTCAAACAGTGCTTTTTCAAGCGGTTTTTTTCTCTCTTTTTTCTTTTTTTGGAGTTTCCGAACACTGGCTGCTGCAACACAATTTGCGTAATCGTTGCGTTGTGCCTAATCATGCTCCCAATATGGGACTTAAGACGCTGCAGTGATCCTTGCCTGCACGAGTATAGATGCTGGTGCATATCATACGAATGTCAAGAAAAACCTCCACCACTTTATCTATCTAGCTTTCTGTCTGTCTGTCTGTCTGTCTATCTATCTCTCTATCCATCTATTTGTGTGCTTATTTTTTCTTGTTTGGTCTGCTGCATTCATGTTTTGTCTTGATGTCAAACCCTCTGGATTTTGTTATCGACCAAAAATAGCCCTACTCTTTATCCCTCCACCCCCCTCCCTCCATCGCCCCCCCCTCCCGTCATCGCCATCAAATCACTTGTGTTTTTACTACGACCGCTCCACGGTTTCATTCATAAGGTGCTTTTCACTTCACCTGCTACCCTACCCCCCTCTTTTGTCCATACACGGCTCTGTGTCGACCTGTCAAACGCTGGCTGCGAATGAATAAAAAGATGAATCAATTCTTAATAGCTATGACTCGTGTAATTCGCCGGGTTCTGCCAAAGCGAGTCTCCTTTACAGTATACAAATTGTTCCATTATTTCCTGTGTAAAATTACAATAAATATGGGCGTGGTCAGAGTGCATCCACTGACAGATGTTATGGCTGAATGTGATGGAGAGAGATAAGATGGCTTGCAATTGCTCGGGAGGCATCGATTTGTATTTATCTTTCTTTTTTTATTCCAAATTAAGGCACGCGTAAAACCACATCACGTGAGGCTGTTAGATTTAGATGATCATCACACTAAACCGCTCTGGGATTTTATTTATCTGCTCTCCTGGAGAATTTGTAGCCTAAAAAATCGTCTCGCACCGATGCAGAAGCGGTGGATATTGTCTATTTCCTCTCTCTCCCTCTCCCTATCTCGTCTTCTTTTTTTTCCTCTGGTCAAAGATTTAAGATTTCTGATCCAAGACGAAGCAATTGCATGGCTAAACAACTGCGAGAGAAGAGAAAAGCCCCTACGCCCACTGGCAGTCCTGTTTTAATCACGGCTCTTCTTGCAGTCTGCATTTTAAATAAATAGCCTACTCCAAAACGAATGTAGCATATTCAGTAAATTCCTAATTGTATTCGAATTACGAGACTTCTCCGCTGGCGTTTTCGGTAATTGTCACCCACCAATGTAATGCGCGCAGATCGGTTACTGCAAATTATAGCCTATTACTCCTCATTTTATATGACAGTGAAACCAAAATAGATCATATTACTTATTAGGCTGCCCGACATTCATAAAAACACTCATTTTTGATAAAGGCTTTGTCGCAACAACAAAAAAACAGCAACGTTTCCGGATCATCAATACCACAAAACGTTTTTATTGCACAAATAATGATCAATCATGAATTAATCCAACGAAACGATAGACATTTTAGTTTATATAACATCAGAGAAATGGTGATGCTTTTAAATACATACTTGGCCTTTTATACACAAAAGCCACGAGAGAGTTGGATTATTTCTATTGCAGCAATCTTTTTCGGGTGTATTTTGTTTATCAATATAATCTATTTTCTCGCAGAATTACTATTTTCTGGCCATGTAGCAGTATTTTTAATATTGTTATTTTTTTCTACTGAGACATGGGATTATGGTGTGGGCGTGGGCGTGTTGGGTGGAGGAGGAGGGATGAGCGGAGGCGGGTTAGGAGGGGTCTGCGGGGTGGCACGACACACTTTGTATGTATGAAGGTTTTTTTATAGCACTTTTCTGCAATGTACGTCAGCGGATCAGTCCATAAATGGGGCTGCGTGTGTTTGTGTGCGGGCGTGCGCCTGCGTGCGCTCGCCACTGTGTGCGTGCGTCTCCGCGTGTGTTATCTTTACCGAGAATCTCCCCTCTCTCTCTCCCTCTCTCCGTCTCTCTGTCTCTCTCTCTCTCTCTCTCTCTCTCTGCACTCTCAGTTCTGCAGAGTTGGGGTGGGCGTCAATAACAAACCTGATGGTAGGTTTCATTGCAAAAATCAGATGACATTCTTTCGGTAGGCCTATTTATTTAACGACGAATAAATAAATGCATTTATCAGAAACAAGGATTAAAACTAACATTATTCTAGATTGTCTCATAATGTGTTCTTTGCTTTTTCCTAATGTTAATGTTGGCCTTTGTGTGTCGTTTTTTGCGTGGCGATCAATTCGTGCGCTTTGGAAGCTAAAGGGATTTGGTTAAATCTGGTATTCATTACAGGGTGTTTCAGTGTTCTTTTAATATTATTAATAGCAGTGTCCCTTTAATAAAACTCGTTTTTTTTATTGTGCTTGCCAGACCTTGCCACTACGTTTTCATTCATGAAATGTAACAACTTGTCCATTTATCTGAGCTGATGTCTGATATTAATTATAAATAGGCTATTGATTAATTCTGGCTATAGATGGCGGAAATCTCGACCCACGGCTAGGCGGGCGTCACGATATATTTAGAGCGAAAAAATTAATCATCTTAATCATTATGTAAATGTGGGCTACATCGCCCGCCGCCGCCGTCGCTGCTGCAATGCTTTAGTCACCACCATCATCTTCATCACTAACACTTTCATCCAATTAACAGGCGTGTTTAAACAAGTTATAGCACGAGCCTTTTATTCCGAACCTTTAATTATCAGTTATTTGTCACAGTGGCGTGATTGTTATTTTACAGCGATGGAGCCCACGACAAGTTATTAATACACAGTGGATGGTAGTTTCTCTTACTGTAAAATACATTTTATATGCCGGACCACTGCGGGACTGCAAGGGTTCATGATGATGATAGTGCGTGTGTGTGTGTGTGTGTGTGTGTGTGTGTGTGTGTGTGTGTGGTGTGTGTGTGTGTGTGTGTGGTGTGTGTGTGTGTGTGTGTGTGTGTGTGTGTGTGTGTGTGTGTGTGTGTGTGTGTGGTGTGTGTGTGTGTGTGTGTGTGTGTGTGTGTGTGTGTGTGTGAATGTTCGATCATGCCGGCAAACCATCCAAGTGTGTCTCTCAGCATGTGAACATGCAGCACATCACTGAATCCGAGCAACTTCTTGAAATAATAAAACAAAGGCTTTATATATTTGCATTTTCTGTATGTCAAATGGACTAAAATTGAGGTTTGAAATAACTTAAAGGTGGATTATTATCATGTTAATAAGGGACACATTTATGTTATGTCCATTAAGTACAAATAAGTATCTATTGTTGCATATGGTTAAAGCAATCAGAATGCATATTCAAGCCATTGCTTTAGTTCTCTAACAGTCTCATTTGTGTAGCAAAATGCTTTATGAGTTCTTGGAGAGAATACTTTAGCATTTCCAAGTAATTTTGTCTCCTGATAAGTGTGTTTTCATTCAGCAGTGAACCATGCAAAGGTTATTGATGCTGTGGTGTTATTGGATAAGGGAGGAGGGAGGCATAAGCCAAGAAAAGAGACAGACAGAGACAGAGAGGAGCTTAATAGGCTATGGAGTGATCTGCAGTCTGTGCCACTATAGAAATAATGTCTCAGCTGTATGAGGATGTGAGGAGAGGATGTGGAGCTTGGTCCTCTGTGTCTGCCTGATGATTACAATAAAGGTTATTGTCAACACAGGAGGGATGAGAATTAACTCCTCACGGCTGCATGTGATTATTAAAGGGCTGTATGGCTTTACCTGTTTACCAGTCTAGATTTTTCTCCACTGTTCTCCAGCTCACCCTCGCCTCGTTTGACGTCATCCAACCTCATACAACATCTTTTTCTCAGTTGACGTGTTCGCTCCAAGGGGGAATGCAATTTCACTTTGATCAAAATACCCTCACCGTCTTCCTTTATCCACGGTGAAAATGACATTTTACAAAATGTCATTTTGTCCGTGTTACACAGTTCCTCTCTGGCACAAGGAGGCATAATTCTACTTGTTAAGTGAAGCTTCCGGCAGTGCGGACCTGTCAGCATCATGCTGCATTTGGCAAGAGAAGCCTTGAAAGGTTATACAAGTGTGTCGTGTTGTCAGCTCCTGGTTGTTTCTTCTTTCTGCTGCACAAACAGGCGAAAGGTTCTGAGCGGGAAAGATGTGAGGGGAGACTGTTTCTGTGAATGTTGGGCCATGAATGGCGTAATTAAAACATGTAGAAATGTGTATTTTCCCAATGTGACAGATAGTGTCAATCATGTTCCTGCAGAGAAAACTTAAATCTTAAGAGAGCTTCTGCCTCAGCTCCAATGAAATAGTGGTTTAGCAGTTCTCAAAAGACTTCTTTTGGCCTTATACAGACCTTCTGCTGTCAATCTGCAGTTGGACCCTTAATCAGATGAGGCAAAAACATCCCTAACACTGCTCACAATGTATGGCTGCTCCCAGCTATTAGACATGATATTCACTTCATTCAGAAATGCAGTCCTCTCATGTAAGCCAAAGCACTTTTCTTGATACGCCGGCTTCAGTTGTGTTGTATTAGCAGAAATGAGAGAGACCATGTTGTTGTTTTTGCTCTTCTAATGAGATGCCAAGTGATTTATTTATGAATTACTTGTTTGGAACAGCCCCCTTGTGCAGTGTACACTTTTTTTGTTATCCTCTTTGGAGTCATGTCGCTCAGTGATTGCTGATGCAACTCTTTGTCATCCAGAGTTTGCCCTCACCTCCTGTGAGCCTTCGGGGAGGGCTATATCTATCTTGGCATGTCCCCGGGTGTGTTGGAGGTGGGAGTGACTCATTAAGCAGGTGTGAGCATCCACTCCCATACTGCTACATGCCAAACAAGAGCTCTCCAGCTCATAAGCTCGTGCAGGGAAGAATCATGATGGCAATATAGCAAACGCATCACAATAAATCTTTACACTGGACCAGGGCCAAGTCACAAGGATAATGAGCTGCTATTTCCCCATTATGCTCACTCTTGTATTCATCAGAGGTGGAGTTTCCAAGCGTTCATCACCCATTGAAAGGTTGTGGCTCCACTGACATTTTTATTTGAGTTCTGCATTACAAAAGGAATGACTTGTTCCCATTTGTTCCAGATGAGTGGAAATAGTGTATCAAGCATTGAAGTTTAATTCTCTGAGCGAGCTCTATGTATACAATTTTAACGTGTTTTTTTAGCCCACATTTGGTAATAATAACCTGTGAAAGCTGGTTACACACTGCAGAGCACTTGCAGGGGAGTCGTCCATCTGTTATGGAGATAGCTCAAAAAGCAAGGAGAAGCAGAATTGTTTTCAGTGAGTTCACATCTTTGTTAGCCTCCATTGCCATCCACATGTTTTAACACCTCTTACGTTTTACAGCATCACATTTATAAGCCTCCTCTAAGCTGATATTCAGGGATTTATATATAACAGAAATGAATCAGACTTTAGGCATATATTGAGCTTCTTTGGCTATAAAAGGATGTAGGCTGCTTAAAATTGATTGGTGGACGTTCACAAGTAGGTGCCTTCTTTTTTAAGCATATATTCTACATTATATTGCCTCCTCACGGTTCAGGAAATGTTTATTTTTAAGTTCTCTGAATATCTAATTTTACACAAATAGGCCATCTGTAAATGGCACACAATGCATCACGAATTTGTGAGACGCGTTGTTACGCAAAACCTTCAAAAGCACGCCATCTCTCTGGCCTCAGTGAGAAATACGAAAATACGGAAGAGGAGAGTCTTCCCTTGTGTTTAATATATTGCCAGAAATTATAGTGTGGATGCGAGCTGCATGGTATGCGGACAAACAGAAGCACATAATGCACGCTGAAAGCGCATTAATAGTTCCGCCTCGGGGCTGTTTAAACAGGAGTTTGGCGGCGACCAGTCAGCCAGCGGCAGGTCACATGTTGCAGCGTCATTGTGTAGTAAAGTTACTGTAGTTGCAAAGAGGCTCCTCATTTCAGCTCCAGAGGTCTCTCATCCCGTGGTGCTGCTGCTGCTGCTGCGGCGTTTCAGCATGCGACAACTCAACTTTCCGACCATCTCCAAAGGAGCCGTGCAGCCATGGGAGTGCATTACCTCATCCATGCAATTTCCACCATCAATAATTTAATCTATTTGCTCCAAAGCTGAAGAGATATCCTGAAGCTTGTCGGGAGAGTACAGAGAGGGAAAAATATCGCTAAAGTAAATTAGCCTACTTAGGGAGTTGTCCAACACATCCCAGATGACACTACTGTCCTGTTGAATGGTCTGTTTTACGACTGGGCAGTAAAAGGTATGTGTTTGTTTTTCGATAAGTTATGTTAAGCACTTTGGCTTTGTTTGATGCTGCTTGAGAAAAAGACAGAGGTGTGTGCGCGTGCGTGCGTGCGTGCGTGTGTGTGTGTGTGTGTGTGTGTGTTGGGGAGGTGGAGGTAGGAGATAGGGTGGGGTGGGGGGGTCTAAAAGTAGCTCGATCAAGTCAGGTTATCCTGCACAGACAGCGCCGCAGCCCGAGAGGGGATATGTGTAACCTTATCCTCTCGTTCATTAATAAAAAACGGAGTTATTATGTTGATTGGGTTTCCAGTGGAGAGCACGAGCTCAGCAGATGTAATCTCGAGACGAAGAAAGACCACTGTGGTTTCATTATTGGAGTAGCCTGAGCAAATGTGGCGTGTTATTAGTACATCTCGTAAGAAGCTAAGTGGAAAGAGTCCAGCAGCGCGCCTATGTATGAAATCGGCCACGTTTGAAAATTTGACGGCAACTTTCTGCTCATAAATAACTCAATAAACTCTTTGTTCAGGGTGTTAGTCTGTATTATATTATCAGAACCTGCGCTGTGAACACGCACATAAAAAAAAACTCCAGATAGTTTTTGTATGGTTGTTTTGGAAGGGGGGGGGGGGGGGGGGGGACTTTGATGAACTCATTAAGACTTTATAGGAAACCCGAGACCTGAACGCCCAGCGACGTCGGCCAACATACACGCTTGGATCTATTTCTTGGTGTTGTGTGCTCGCTTTGAATAACTTCAAATTACTAGCCAGAATGATAAAGTTCCATTTATAGAGTGGTGGAAAGCTGGCTCCTTCTTGACAGCTCCGTGTGAACATATCTGGAACATAGCACAACACACGGGCTGGTTATATGATGGTTCAATGGTCAATTAATGGCGTGTTATATATATATACATATATAATAACAAGCATATTATGACAACATGTCAGAGATGTGACTACATAGCATTTAAGAGAGAAGTTTGTTTACTATTATGCACAACATAAGTTAAATACACTGTGATCTATCTATCTATCTATCTCGCATTTCACATGAGGGAGGGAGATACAGATGGGAGGAAGGTGGAGAAAGGGAGAAAAAAGAAGGAGCTGTTATTATTACACGGTCTCATACGCCACCCAGTGTACAGAATGTTGAATTGCAGCGTTGTGAATTTGAGCTACAAGTCTGTTGGTTATTTCAGTGGTTAAGTTTTAAAGTTGGTAATTGAAGGTTTAAGGGAATTGTTCTCGTTATAATTGTCATCCTTAAGTCATCCATTATGTAACTTCAGTTAGGATTTTTAACATATTGTGTTGCTGCTGTAGTCCATCTATTGCCCACTGTCACATGCATTGTGGGAGGGAAGCAAAGACTAATTTGGATAGCCCAGATCACTCAGCAGCTATTTGAATGCCGGCTGTCTGTGGCAGTGGCCGGGGTTGGCCAGGAGGCCAGGTATAATCCCTTAGTGATGCTCATCTATTACTAAACATGCTCTGAAACTGTGTCAGATTGAAAACAGATCTCAAGGAAGCAAGCTTGCACATATGTCAGCCATTACTGCAGGCTACTCTACAGTAATTGCCTTTTCTTTAAGTGCTGCATTGTGGCACACAAGGGGTCCTCTCCGATAGAAGTGTTGATATCACGTGCAATGTTTTTCTTCCGAACATTTGGCATTGTGCACCGTACATGTTGAACATGACAAAACATGTTGCTAGGTAAATAGCTCTAACCCGACACGGTTCTTGAGGAATTGAACAAAGATGAATGCCCACAGGGGAGCCGTGGTAGCGGTAGAGAACAAATGTTGCTATAGGTCATACCTTTCCATTCAAATTGAGTTGGAACATGTTCCCTCTATCATCACTGCTGTTAGATTGTTGATATTCCTTTATAACAGTTCCTTATATATCATTAAGGCTGTTGATAAAGATGAAGCCATAAAGTGTGCTGACATTTGCAGGGAGGCAACATTACTGAATGTGTAATAACACTAGCTATTCTAGTTCTTTCATGCTTTAGAGCAACTTTTCAGCATCTGCCAAAGCAGGCATTTATCACTTTAATCCCCACCTGGCACAAAGAATAAAAGTGAGGGTAAGTTACATATCCCCACCATACAGCCGCGCTCTCAAAGCAGATAAACAGGTGGTCATCAAGAGACGTCAAAGCCAACAGTAGACAGAGTCCACACACTCACCTGCTCCTATTGTTCTGGGTGTTTCATGCTCTAGGCGTGTTGTCTTGAATAAAGGCGTGTTTGCAGGGGTTATTGCAGGCTTTATCTTTCCTCATCTTTACTAATCTACTTTTTTGTTTAAAAGAACTGTCATACTTGGAAAGCCATGACTCTTAATGTATTATGATACACAGCTGAATTAGTTGTATCAATCTACATTTCATCAAGATAAAAGATCTCTTTGTCAGATGCTTTTTAACAATCAAACCAGTCGCTTAGCTGGTCTAGAGGCTTCTCTAAAAAGTACATTTGATTCCAAACATTCCTCAGTATGCGGTTCCTCCCTCGCTTTATTATTCATACTCATTGTGTTAACTCGCAAGCCGCTTTTTCATTAACTGTGAAATCCAGCAGTGCACATAAAATGTTCCTTCACTAGATGTATAAAACAAGAGCGAACCAATCAGTTGTCACATTTAGCCTCTAGTAGATATAAGCCAGAGATTCTCCACCAGTCCCACAGCAATTAAATGATTCATTGCCTTTATCACATTTTAACAGGATGTTGATTGAGAGCATAAGCCATATTGATTGTCCTGATGGAAACAGGAAATCACAGAGATAGAAATAAAATCATTTGTTGTTCCCGGTGTGAGGATACCCGGGGGAACAGCATGCAATTGCACACTGTTGAGTGGCATTACCCCCAGCAACCTCCTCCCCTCCATTCTCTCCCCTATGGAGACCTGGAAAGGACGTCATCTGTGGTTGTTATGCTGCGAAATGACGCTGGCACTCTCTCCACCCCCTGCTACTGCAATATTACCCCTGTGGTCTGTTACGGAAGATGCAGCACTCTTCGTCTGCACCATTTCCAGCATGAAGTTTGACGCCTAACAGTAATCAGCCCTCTGCTTTCATTTCCGTCATGTGGAAGTAGAGCCATTTGAGCGTGATGCTGATAATAATATCAGCCTAAATGCATCCTACACATAAAGCTCGTGACTGGCCTTGATCCCGTAAACCTACATCATTTTCTTTGCTGGGAAGCCTCACAGACAATTCTTGTTATTTAAACCAAAGCCATAACAATACTGAAGGGTTAATAAGCTTGATATATAGACTTTTGTTGGCGGTATTTAATGAAATATAGGTAATTATCCCCTTATTCCTGGCTTTGTCCTCATTGTTGTTTTAATTGGTGAGAGGAAAAATACCCCCATCTCCCTGCAAACACATACAAGCCAGCCCCTCCCCATGCCCTCCCGCTAACATACACTCACACACTCTGGAGCTGCACGTCACTGAGCTCAGGGAATGAGTGGCTCATTAAGAAGAAGGATGTGATATTCTGAATCGAGACTGTGAGACTCCCAGCACATCTATTTATAGACGAGATATCTCTATGGCAGTCACAGTGCTGTTGGTTAATTGCAGCCACGGCCCCTGATACCAATTAAGAGTGAAACAAATGCTTTTAAGGTGGGGTTTCTGCTCCTCCCTCACTGTTCACGTCCTCGTGTCCGTTCTGAGTGTGTTTGCGCGCCGTGTTTTCCAGTATCAAGTTGGGACATGCAGAGTGCAGTCAAAGCCTCGGTCAGGCTATTTTTAAATGAGCCCCTGTGGAAAGCAAGATCTAGATTTTCTTTTCATTATGGTTGCTTTTATATCTCGGGCTGTTGGATGTCCACCAATTCATTGATTTTCTGTGAGTATTTGAGCTTCTCAAAGGTAAGGGATGTATATGCTCGAGCAATGTGTGTTCAGTATTTCCGCTACACCTGGCTCCTTGTGGCTCCTTTCCCTTTGCTTATCTTGTGAGTTGTTCGAGATCGGTACTTCGCAGCGCAGGGAGGATGAAACATCTTTCTGTCATGTAGTTTCCTCATGACATCCTGTTAGTTCATCCTGCAGTGCTCTCACCGTCCACCTGCAGAAAACAAACAGTGACCCTCAACAAACTCCTGATTCCCTCACGTGACTGTGAGGTTAAGTAACATACCTGTCTGACAGCACACAGTTTCTAAAAGGAAAAATAATACTTCAGCAGTGGTGTTTGTCATAGCTGACACAATCAGTCAGTAAGTGCTGCCTATGTTTGAAGTTCCCCTGAAGGTTGATAATAATGATTTTGTTACCGGGGTAATGTCATAGTCAGATAATAGAAGATAATGCATGAGCTCTTCAAACAAACAAAACAAACAGACGCATATCCTTATGTAAACACATGCAGAGCCTTTCGGAAAGTAGTCCCAGTTTACAATTGACCATCACATGGTAGAAGGCAATCAGGCATCCATTATTGGCCACCTGTACATTTGATGTTTACTTTATTAAACATTGAAACACCTGCTCTAATAAACATACAGTTTAAGAATATGCAAATGTGATATGTCCTTTTATAAAGTGTAAAAGATGTGGGTCTGAGCTTTCAAAACTGACAGTACAATACATCATCCAGGCAGTGAGGGATGAATGACAGATATAAAACGAGTCCATTATAAAACTACACCTCCTTGCACACTCTAGAAACACACTGCACAGTTTAACACACCAGTTAAAAATAGCTCATAAATAATAACAAGCCTGCAAGAATGTAGTGACATCTATTTGTGTGATCTTATCTTTTGTGTTAAGCAATATATTTGAAGCTCAGCACAGATTGTGTGACTGCCAACAAATACAAATCCAAGCCAGACCTCACATAGGAACAGAGAGATGTTAGTTTGCAAACAATTGGAAAACAGTGACAACACAGCACCAATATTGGTTTTAATTTTGATTATTCAAAAATACTACTGGTTCTCTTTTTGGCTTTCAAAGAAACGGTAGAGGGTATAAATAAACATGGTGCATTATGGATCAAGAATAAGCTAGCTTCATTGAAAATGCTCTTTGAATAACAGTCTTGTTCTCTCTTCCCCTTCCTCCCCTCTTGTTCCTCTTTCTTACCCCTCCAGTTCCACCAGGTTAGAAGAGTGATGACCATCCTGTTCCTTACTATGGTTATTTCATACTTCAGTTGCATGAGAGCTGCGCCCCTGAGAGACGTCCCGGGCATGCGGGGCCATCGGACGGAGGGCTACTTGGGCGCTGCTGCGACGGCCGTACGAGGCCATGGGACTCCTCAGAGTGATGGGGGGCCGGGCCAGCGCGGGGAACTGCCCTCACTCACAGACACGTTTGAGCAGGTGATAGAGGAGCTGCTGGAAGTGGAGGGAGAGGCGGCAAAGCTGGCACAGGGGCCTGATAAGAGCCAGGGAGCAGGGGGCCCGTCCTCCATGGTCACCACAGAGACCAAGGATGTCGACCTGTACGACTCGCGGGTGATGATCAGCAACCAAGTGCCTTTGGAGCCGCCGTTGCTCTTTCTTCTGGAGGAATACAAAAACTATCTGGATGCCGCTAATATGTCCATGAGGGTGCGGCGACACTCCGATCCCTCACGGCGCGGAGAGCTCAGTGTATGTGACAGTATTAGCCAGTGGGTGACAGCTGTGGATAAAAAGACGGCAATAGACATGTCTGGGCAGACAGTTACCGTCATGGAAAAGGTCCCTGTCCCCAATGGCCAACTGAAGCAATACTTTTATGAGACCAAATGCAACCCCATGGGGTACACAAAGGAGGGATGCAGAGGAATAGACAAGCGGCATTATAATTCCCAATGCAGGACAACCCAGTCCTACGTGCGAGCACTTACCATGGATAGCAAAAAGAAGATTGGCTGGCGGTTTATAAGGATAGACACTTCATGTGTATGCACATTGACCATTAAAAGAGGGAGATAGTGTATAAAATGTATAGATTTTATTGAAGAGTTTAAAAAAGAGAATAAAGAGAAAATATCTATTTGTATATATACATAACAGGGTAAATTATTCCGTCAAATGAAAATTTTATGGACTGCATGTAAAAAAAGATGAAGTTTATACAGTAAAAGTGATACTACAGTCTATTTATTGAACATATTCATGACCTTGTAAACAATTAAAAAAAATCTGATCAGTCATTTGCGCCCAGTTTAAATTACTATATCACATCCCTCAAGACATTGTGATTTGTTTACGTTGCCAAGAATTAGAAAATGAAGGAAAAAAAACAGGCAAGGAATGAGAGAGGACAGTTCCATCTTCAAAAGCTTGCATGCTGCTTCAATTGTGAATTGACACTTACAAAAAAGGATATGATGCTGACCAAAAAACATTTTGTTTACATATTCAGCAGAAAACAATTTTCCTCTCAAGTAATTTATCTGTTTACTGTTCTAAACTTCTCAAGGTAATGTTGGAAATACATACTATGTCAAGGTGCTGTTGTCAAAGCTTTGCTGTTTATTTTTTTATTCCCACCAGAGGAAAGATATATAAAAAAACTATTATATATATATATTTATATATACATATAAATATATATGTATGTATATATATATATAAAATCTATTCATTGACATGTTTCTGGGTTAATATTATTCATTTTGTATGTTGTGAAGTTGTTTGCAATATTAAACTGAAATATTTGAAGAAATAAAAATGACTATAGGCAACTGAAAAACAAAATCAATGTCGATAAAGTTTCAACAGTGCATTTCCAGGCAGGATCAACTTCTCTATGACAGGCAGGCAGGCGGGGAGGAAGGCCGGCACACACATACATGTGCACACACACAAACACCAAATGATTACCATTAATGACCAGGATACTAAATACATATCAGAGGCATGCAAGAAAAAAAGTTGAGGAGTCAATGCATTGGGTAATATGTAGAGTTTTGGGTGGAAACACTGTATATTTTACAGTGGAAAAATCCTCCTGAGCCACTTCCTGCTCCCAAACCTGCACATTACAAACTTACATTGTGTCATTTAATACTTTGGTATTCATACAGAGGGTTTAAGAGATTGACTCATCTCAATATGTAATATTTCACAAGTATAAGAACTTAGCATAACAAGTGTAGACTAGTACAATTAGGCTGAGTTTGACACTGATGCATTAACCCACACGTACATTTGTTTACACTAAAATATACACCCACCCAACATTTTCTCAGCAGAGCATGGTAATCCCATTTTAAATCTTCTACAAAAGAACAATCATCACAGATTGTATGCAGCTGTTCATTGACTGTGAGCAGGAGGAAAATCCTGGTTTCGTATCTGGGTTAAAAGATTATTGAAGCTTCATAACAGCCTTCCCTGCAGCAGATTATAATTCTTCATAGTGAGCATTAAAAAGTGGCAACTCCTTGCTTGTCTCTTAACATAGTTAAGGGTTGCACTCTTGCATCTTAATATCATGAACCAATGCCACAATTGCCCATAACATGACATACTTCCAAAAGAGAAGACACTATAAAAAAGCAGATACAAAGCTTTACCGATTATATTCGTGTCACATTTGATGCTCATTTCATTCCTATGTTGTCAACCTAAAGGTAAGTGTGACCTCGGAAGAGATCCAGATCTGTCATTTTGAGATTTGGAAAACAAATGGCTGAAAAGAGAAAGACTTTTTCTAAACCGAGAAAAAAGATGTGCTACTTCCTTCTGTATATGTCTTGGATCCTCCAGAGGAGGCTGATGAAGATACTGTGAGTAACTTTTCTTATCCTCTTAGAACAAGTAGAGAGTCTCTACACTGAGAAAGATGATAAGTATATACTTGTGTCCATTTTCATGAATCTCCCAATAAAATACATTTAGGTGTGTGTCATGGCCTCACAAACCAAATCAATATAAACTAAGGTATTCTATTTGTCTACAGGAAGACAAGCAGTAGGCAGTTGTTTTTGGAGGTAATACACTTTAGAATAGAATTGCAATAATGTAATACAATTCAAACAACGTGTCTGAGCACAAACACATTCTCAGCATACAGGACAATAAATCAAACCTTTTGTTATGCAGTTTAGATAAGGCATTGTGAACTGCTCTCTATCATGAGTGTTTGCCTCTGGGTTTAGAAAACTGCCATCCAATGATCACACAGTCATTAAAGTAATAAAGTGACTCTGAAATGCCATTTGTCTTTGAGTCAGAATAAAGCCCATATTGTCTTTTGTGATCATAAATCATCCTTGTGAATATATCTTGCATGTAAGATGTATTTTACCCAGAGCTGTGGTGAAAGCTTAGATAAAACAATAATTAGAAGAAAAATAACATAACAATAGGCCTTTTACATTTTTAAGTACAATGCATACTGCTGATCCACTAAATGGGGGTCACTTTCAAGTGTGTTGTTTCTTTGGCCACACCCCGATCAGTGATGTCACATTAGGTGTATTTCATAAACTGCGTGTCATGGTCATCACCAACCGGGGTGTGGTCAGAGGTGAATCATGCTTGCAGTTGTTTTACATGCTTATGTGCTGTAGTCTCAAGATGTGCTCCAGTAAACCAGCAGAGGGCAGCAGAGAGGACATTCCTCCCAAGTGTCAGCAAAAATCCAAAGAATCTTCCGGATGGTCCCTTGTCACCACAACACAGCACATTATGTAACAATCCCTTGAGATGTGAGCGTTCATGTAGAGGTGCAGCACAACTGCTAAATGAATGATAAACTAAAATAAGGATTTTTGCTTATTGTATTTTTGTTAAATAAGGATAGGCTATGCTATGGGATCACAGTAGGCCTACGCATCTTTACTCCCTTTTTTTCTGAATCCTGCAGCGGCCTTATGCAAGACGCCAAAGGACAACAACCATGCATGTCCTGTATCAAGAGTAGGCTACACACAATTACACAAACCAAATAATACTTTTAAGTTAAAACTGTCCCTCTAGAGCAGTGGTTCTCAAACTTTTTCTGTCAGGCCTTTGGAGAAAAAAAAAAGTCGGGCCCCCCCAACACAAATAGTCAGGCTCAGTGGCGGTGCCAAAGATTTATTTGGGGGTACTGTGGGGTAGCTTGACGTTTCATAGAGGGTGCTCAAACATTTAGGGTTTCCCATTAATGTACCGGGCGCTACAGTGGAATGTTCTACTGCAACATTCCCCACGTATATACACAATGTACCCGCGACTGTTACAATGAAGGCTCGATAATCAGCTCACGGCATATAGGTGTAAGCAGGGGTAAAGTGCTATTTTTATAGGTGGTGTCTGGACCTCACATAGGGGGGTCCGGGGGCATGCTCCCCCGGGAAGATTTATTTTTAAATATTGAAGTTAAAAGCATCAATCTGGTGCACTTTGAGAGCAAAATGAAGAGATCTACAGTATGGATACATCTCTCAACACAGAACTGTAAATAGATTTACTATTTCTTTATGGATATTTTACAAATCACTCCCCTTTTAAACTTTATACATTTTTTAATGTCATATAGTATTTCATAATTGTTTTTAATTTATTTATATTAATGGTGACCAAAACGTTTGAGACCCACTGAGATAACACTGAGAGAGTCCTTTAGCTCACTGAGTCTCTCAGTCTGACAGGAAAGGACTCTCCTCCACTTTGTTGTTGAAAAAACTCCTTATATCCGTTAGCGTAGCTCGCTAGCACCAGAAGCAAACATCAACAATCTCCGGTACCGGTGCGCTCTCTCTCTCTCTCTCGCTCGTGCACGCACACAAAATGGCTCGTTCCACACACACACAGAGCCGAGCTTTAATGAAACCCAGACACCCAGACGTAATAGTACTGTACTGTATCATATTATTTTCGAATCAATAATTTTTCAAAATATGATTTTTTAATTTATTTTTTAAAATCTTTTTATTTATTTATTTTAATAACCATTTTTTCTCCTGGTCTCTCGCGCCCCCCCCTGTCATGCCTCTGACAGGGGGCCACTTTGAGAACCACTGCTCTAGAGTCTAGACCTATGGTCTAGACTAGTATCCAGAGTAGGATTTAACTCAAGGCACTAAAGGTGTAAGGATAGAAATAACTCCCATTGTCCATTTCACAAAGCCATGGGTGATATTGTAATATAACAAAAAGTATGACATATTAAACAGTGAAATGCGTACACAGAGTATTACATCAATACTTAATTACGATTGATGAATCGTTTAGTGCCAGCGAGCATCCATTAACTATGGAATACAACCATGGATGTATTAAAGAACACAAAGTAATGATTTCCGTCTGTTTACCAACTTTACGAGCATTACCTGAACGCACCATGACACTAGCAGCTAGCCTAGCCGGCTAACTTTGCTAATCTGATTTAGCGTCTCGGCTAAACGCACGTAACGTTAGCCAGGATTACCATATTTAGTGTTCCTTATCTATCGTTTAACACAATATCTACCTGACATCAAAAAACACTCATCTGAAGATGGCATCGCTTGGGGAGCCCGTGCGGTTGGAAAGAGGTAAAGTAAATTGGCTAGCTAGCGTTAGCTCAGAAATATTTGTTGTGATCTATGGAGGCATTAACCTAGCTTCGCTAGCGTTAGCCGCACTGAGCTGGTGATTGTTATTGACAACATACTCTCGTGTTTAGTTGGCTGACTTTGCGTTAAAAATGTATTGCTGATAGCCAATGCTTGTGAATTTGCCTCATTGTGTACATCCGATGCACTACGCTGAACTAACCATCGTTTTAAGGCTACACTGTTTTACTTAGCGCACATGCTAACTGTTATTAATGGTAACCGTGATAAGTAGCTTGTTTGATAAAAGCGCTCCGTTTTTTAGCATCATTGAGGAATCATAAGCTATTTTGCACCAGTTTAATCATCATAAGCAGGATGAGCAGGAATACATATTTATTTTACATACTTTTTTCAACCATAGTTCTCCTTTTTTCTTTACTATATTAATTGTTTTAGTGATTTCGTTCAGTACATAATCACTACACTCACAAACAGACAGAAATACACACTGTACTTTTTCTGCACACGATGTACGTATAACCTATAATACAATTAGACTACACGCCATACAAAAGGGGAATTGAGATAAAAGGTATTTGGAATGTTTATCCACCCTTACAAAAGGTATACAATGTTTTTAAGAATATTATTTGGTTTAAACCCTTCATCTTTAATAAGTACAATTATAATATGAGTTGTGACATTGTATGACATATACATCCCTCCATAGAAGTTGTGGGGGGTGGGTAGTAAAACAAAGAAAAGGAAGTCTGATGGATGCCTATGATCCTGTTATATCTTCTCTGTGTACTTGATATGTCTATGGGCCCCTTAGTCTTCATTTATCTTATGCTAATACACCGTGGTTTTTATTTCCACAAGCCCTCACACATGTAATGTTGATAAAGGCTGAAGTGTATATGTGATATAATGTGTTGGAGGAAGCTGAATGGAGTCTAAATCAATTGCATTAGCACAGACAACAGTGGCAGGAGAAAAATGACTTTGATTTCATATATTTTGAAATTATTTAGTTTTTCACATTGGAGACTGTATTTTTCTAACTGTTTCAACTTGTTTATACTTCCAAATAAATCACAATGAATAAATAATTGCAAAAACACCCCAAACATTTCTTCATGGTAAATTGCAAATGTAGTACTTTTATTTTTACATTATTAGTTTAAGGGTTTAAAAGGAGAAATAATGTATAACCAACAACCAGCTTAACTGAGGATAATAATAACTCTTCTTTGCATTGGCTATTTAAATAGGACAAGAACAATTATATACAAACATTATAACAGAGTAACAGAGGAAAAACGGCTCACACTTGTTTTTGTTCATGATGATGTCATTTCAACTGGTTGGTCATTTATTTTGAAAGAGCAGCTGATAATGTTTGCCCCCATGTGTGAGGTGGCAGATAATTACTCATTTGTAAAACATGATGTTAAAGATATTCTGGCAGCGTATAATTCGGTCTCATAGTTTCATTGATGGTAAATAAACAGTGGTGTAAGTTATTACAAACTCAATCTCAGACTCATTTAAAACGGGTTAATTGACGGAAATGATTGAAACATTTTAGACATTAATTGATTTGTAAGAGAAAGCCATTTCTAAACTATTCATTGTTTCTTTTCTTCCACGATTCAATTGAACAGATTGAGTTTTGACATTTGCAGAGGAGTTAATCATCGTCTCCATTTGCAGATATTCCTGAAACCTTGATGGATGTGTGTGTGTTCTTGTTGGCAGATATTAACCGTGCTGTTGAACTGCTGGATAAGCTCCAGAGGACCGGGGAGGTGCCGCCCCAGAAGCTGCAGGCGCTGCAGAGGGTCTTACAAAGTGAATTCTGTAACGCTGTCAGAGAAGTGAGATACTTTGTTTTTCTTATTTCTTAAACACTTAACTGTGAGATGGCCTTAGTTTACTTTCAACTTCTGGAGTTAAGCATAAGTGTTTAAAAAAGAGGGTTTGGTTAGATCTGTTTCTCTTCACCTTTTGGAAATGTGGGTAGCTGTTGCTGGGATGTGACGAAATACTGTCCAACAATGTCTTCAGGTTTACGAACATGTGTATGAAACGGTGGACATCAACAGCAGTCCTGAGGTCAGGGCCAACGCCACTGCTAAGGTAGGCCCAAGTCAAATCTAATACACACCTTTTTATGTTTAAGAAAATGTATAAAGAAAGCATATTTAGACCGTATGAAGTTGACTTTTGATTCTATTCTGGTTTTATGTTTCAGTATTTGTAAGCAACTGTGACTGAAAGAATATTGCTTTTATTTGACTTTTTAATGGTTATTTCATTAATTTTTTTGTTGTTATTTTTTTGTAAGATGTTCTTCTCCCTGCTCCTTTCCACCATGCGCTATACAAAAACAAACGGTATAAGTGTACATGTTTTGTAAAGTGTACATGTTGTTTTAAAATAACTGCCATGTGTGGAATAAACAAATAAATAATAAATACATCTTCTGCTTATCTTAAATGAAGACATTTTGCTTCTTAAAGGGTGCTCTAGTTGCTTACTCAAAGGTTAAACAAAACCACTGTTTTTATTTCTAGGCTACTGTGGCAGCCTTCGCAGCAAGTGAGGGGCACTCTCATCCACGTGTTGTGGAACTGCCCAAGACTGAAGAAGGCCTAGGTTTCAATATTATGGGTGGAAAGGAGCAAAACTCACCAATATACATCTCACGGATCATCCCAGGAGGCATCGCTGACCGACACGGAGGCCTGAAGAGAGGCGACCAGCTTCTCTCTGTCAACGGGGTGGTACGTTCAATTCCCTGCATCTACTCTAGGAGGTTACATTTGAAGGTTAAGCCTGACACACTCTTCTGCGGATGTTTTATCAAACTCAGCTTGTTGTAGGCGAGGCATACTCAGTCCTGCCAATTATTTATTTTCTTTTTTGGCTCATCCACTGATCACAGCTGATTGTTCTCAGAATTGTAGCCGTTAAGTGTAACCATGTGTCAACAAAGCTAAAAGAAAAGATTGCTTGCAACCAAATATGGATATAAACAAAATTCTTCAAATTGGCTTTTAAATGTTTTATGTGGAAGGAAAATACATTTAACACAATTATAAGGCTTCAAGAAAACAAGGAAGGTGTTTTGTTGTGAAAAAGTGAATGCATGTAACCTTAACAGCTCTTCCACAATAACCGCAGCATTCAGCAATTTTACTTCATTGAAAATACCAGGATCAGCCAAATATAATCATACAAGTAATTTTGTTTATTGCTCAGTTGGTTCTCTCCATTAACATTTCCAAATTACAGACTTTTACATGGGAGGTGGAACTGTGCTGCAGAAACCTTATGTTGGAATTATATTCCCTCAAATAACTATAAAGTACTGATGTTATTGTTTCTCCCAAAGGTTGACACACCTTGTAAAAAGTGCCCACAGCTTTTAGATTATAACCCCATGAAACTGTAGACTTTACTGCAGTTTGTATGCCTCTCTGTGATAATACTAACAGAGGGTTTCTGTGTTTCTTCCAGAGTGTGGAAGGGGAGCACCATGAGAAAGCTGTGGAGCTCCTCAAAGCTGCTCAGGGCACAGTGAAGCTGGTGGTAAGGTACACCCCCAAAGTCCTCGAAGAAATGGAGTCACGCTTTGAGAAAATGAGGTCGGCGAAGCGCCGGCAACAGAACAACTACCCCCAGTAGAATGTCTCCGTGTTGATGCCCAGCTCCCATGTCTCTCCTCATCGAGCCGTCTGGCCCGATGTTCTGGTCTCTTTATTATCTCCATGCCCCACAAAGCGTAACCATCACATCCCCACTTTGTTTTAGTTCCTACTTACACACACGGTATATTGTGCTTCTACCTTTTTAATATTCTCCATAGTTCCACTTGACACTACGACTCTAGACGAACACTAAAATGATTGTCAGTGTAGGGGGTCACTCACACGTGTGCATTATCTTTGAATGCCACTTTGAGTGCTTATACCAACTACACAAATCCTTTGACTGGAAAGGTAGTGTTTTTAATTATTTTATCAAAGCCACTACCAAGTGCCTCAGGGCAAACACATCTATCTTATGTACTGTGTTCACCGTTATATTCTTCTTCTTCTTAGTGGTTTAAAGTCAAGTACTGCTAATTAAATGCTTGTGGCAGGAATTACTACATGCTTCGCATCTGTTATTATCAAAGCTCATTTCATTTCAGCATATGATAAACATGTTTAAAACCCTTTTAACTTTAAAATAAGGTGCAGTTTTATTTGTGTTGCTGCTTTGCAGGCATGTACTAAACTAAAGAGAGGCTGATAACGGTTTGAATTAGTTAGAAAGTGATAGTTGGATATCAAGGGGATCCACTGAAAGGAGACTTCTGAACAAAAATGATGGATTATCTCTGGGCTTAGCTTTTTTAGTTTTCTAATATCATACCACATTATAAAAAGCTCAGCAGGTACTGTAAGTGATGTAATGGGGTCTCTGCAACTTTTGAACTAAATTCCTGCCGCCACAGAGACTCACACTTTTACTTTTATTAAAGTAATAACCTTCATAAGCAAACATCTTGCCGTCAGCATGATATGAGATGATTCATTTGCCTTGACAGAATTCAGGAATGTACTGTAAGTCATGTTTTCTTATTTGCCGGGTAGTACAGGAAGTCAGTCACTTCACATTGTTCTTTGATCTTTGCCGGGGAAAAAGTGATAATTCTAAATGAAGAAAAATAGGATGTTTTTAATATCAAGCAATCTTTCTGTCATAATAATGCCTAATGTGAGCTTTCATCATTCTGTTGATGAATGAAATGGCAGATGTGGATATTATGTCTGATAAATAGCTACTTCATATTCAGACTTTACACAGTTGTAAAGCTGTAAACCTGCTGCATCGGTATGTTTTTCAGTTATTGTCTTAAACAATCTCTAGCATGTGTGTGTCAAAGGTGTCATTTACTTCAGTTGAACTGTTTTTTTTATCCTGGTAGCCATTGACAACTTTAAAGGCTTTTGTCTTTATAGAGAAATATGACACCAGTGCTGCGATAGGATCTATAGAAACCTGTTAACATTTAAATTACTTTACTTTAATGACCATGCATTCGATTCAAGGACAAGAGTAATCCCAGACATTTAAATACAGTTTTATTTATGAATATTTTCATTATTTTATATGTTATCATAACTAACAATCATGCTCCATTAAAGCCAACTTGTTAGGGGCTCCCATGTACTCTATTTGTTAAATACAAACCAAACAAAATGCTGAATTAAGTTTGATAATGACAACACTTTGTTACTGAATACTGCCACACTGTCGGGTGTGTTCTAATATGTGGTTTTGAGCAGGCTAATGTCATCAAACCAGAATATACTGATGGAGGAATGCTTATGTTTACAACACTTTGTTGTTATAGTTTTAAAGTGTTTTCGCAATGCATGGTTAACTGTACAGATATTCCTTCTCAAGATGTGGAATATGAACCCTTGTCTACATGCAATATGTCAATCAAACAAGTCTTCAGGTCATGCTTGTATTTAAAATATTGTATTATTCAAATAATGATGGGAAAGTAAATATAAATATCTGTTAAATTATCCATAGCATCCAAAATATCCTTTTTATTCACAAAACGTTTTTCCATGGTAGCTGCAGTTACATTTACATCGCATTATGTGAACTAAGCTTTGGCTGAAAAGGCTATGCTTCTGCTGAGTCATCATTGAGCCAGGAAGGTAGTAATAGTGAATAGCAGACATTTTGTATCTAACTGATGTCCAGTTAGGTTGGATGGTGGATAAATCAACAAACACATTTTCCCTTCAGTGCAGCTTTAGGGATTTTGTGAACGGTGTTGTAACTGTTTAACCATTCTTCAGGACTCAATTCCCTTTAAATGCAGTGCAGTGTAAAATGAAGATCTGTTTGCTTCATGATCAACACAACTTATTGCCCCACAGTTGTTAGATGACCGGTTGTCTGTGTAGCTGCTTTTGGTTTAAGGTTGCTTTTTCGTTTAGTGTTTTTGTTCATTTATCCACCATTTTATCCACCATCTCTTAACAAACAAAAATGTAGCAGCTCTGGCATAAATGACTCAATCAAATTATGAACAACTCATCAAGAGTGCTTCAGTCCTGGGTTCTCTTTTATATAGAATAGTCATATTGTTTTGCTTGAAGAATATGGTTTAAGTAAATTTAGATCAAAGTGTTCTTTAGCTTCTCACTTTGTCACAGTTTCTACATAAATCCATTATAACCGTCCATTTCTAATCAAAGTCTGCTGTTCCTATACATGTCAGCTTTACCTGTGGGATCCTCTTCGCTTAATGATATGTTACTTAAATATAAGCAAAAGTGACAATACATGATGAGCTTGGGCCCATCTGTGGCTATGATCCGTGTAATGCATTGCTCCTTATGAAAAACTGAATTTTGGACAAAGTATAAAACAATACAAACACACAGTACTGCAAAAACTGAATGCAAAGTCAATTATCTATGCAAGGTCCTTTAAAAACTTTGTACGGTGCAAAATAATTGTCATTTTACTGCAGAATGTTATTGGAAATTACTGCTTTAAGTCTGTGTGGACAAATGTCTGAGTTTGGACACGCTACACTTTGATACGTTGGTGTTACATAATCTAATGAGACGTCAACAATGTTATTGTAACATGTTGATCACCACCAAGACATTGCAGTGAAGTTGTCCATGCGATATTAGCCTTGCTATCTAAATATTGATTGTCAGGAGGATAAATGTAGAAGGATAGGCTTATGTGAACATTTGGTTAGCAATATACCATTCCATAGGCTACTGGGAGCATATGTTTGTTTTGAGGCAGAACATTTAGCACAAGAGTTGGGGTGTACATAAAAGTTGAGATGTCTTAATATAATGTATAGATTGTTCCTTAATTGTGTTTTATCAAACTCTGCTTGCTAGATTCCCTGCTTGCACACATGAATAGTAAAATCAGGAAAAAATGTAATGAGACTTGGTATTGATATTGCACACGCTCCACTGAATGTCACTGACCATCGGTTGCAACATTTTGTGAGTTACCCTTCAACTTTCTACCTGTTTTCATTGTCTTTATATTGGAATGGTCAATAGAGTATTTTTTATAATAGTTTTCTTTTTGATATTTTTCTCAATTTTATAAGGGATTTTCCTAAAAAACAAATACCGGGAATAATTGGTACTTCCATTTTGACTGTGTACCAGGGCCATATCAGTGAAGCGCCTCTGAGCGGCAGCGCTGATGCAGGTCTGAGATCTGCTCGTACTGTATGAACGTACAGACAGTCCTACATCAGCACGTCTCTCCGGAGATCTCAACTGATTTATATTTTCTTTCTAGTACCAAGACCAAACTTGCAAACACTTGTGAAAACTTTGATAATGTTTTGAAATATTTTAGCCAGTGCTTCTTTAGGATTATTACCTGTAGACTGTGTTGTGTTATTTTGTGTTCTGGTTTATTACATAATTTACTGTTACATTGATGTGGAATGTAAAATGTTGTGATGTAGAACACATAATAGTTGGACTAGAGGCTTAATAAACAGTGCTTACATATATGTCTCTGAAGGTCTTTCTGCATTCATTTTAGTTTTAGGCACAATAAATCACAAACAACCACCAAAAGCAGTGAAAGAGGACATGTGATCCCATCCAGTGTCAGAAAAGGGGGTTGAGGGATGGCAATAATAATAATAATTGTTTTGCTCCCAACATTTTGTTAACACACCATATTCTTTGACAGCAAATAAAGCAATCGCCCCTAAAGTATTCAAAACATGTTCTACAATGATCACATCCCCTCACAATGAAAATAATGAGTTAAGGGCAATACTCTTATCTACTTCAGGTTTTGTTCCAAACATGTTAAACCCTGAATAAAGGCTATACTAGAGTTTTCTTTCTTCATAATGATTGTAATACCTGACTCATATTGCTGTTTGTGGTAGATGCTTTTTTTTAAATTCCGGACCAATACACACAGTACAAGCTCCTTTTGAAGTGGAGGGAAATGTAAATGTTTTGTTGGAGGAATGAACCCAGAGTGACCTTGAAATCTCACAGTTTCGCAGTGATGCTCGCTGATTTGGGTGACTTGTGCGATTCGTGGAGAACCGAAGAGTTTTCGTTTTGGGAGGGGGGGGGGGGGGGGTCGGTCAGTCCGTCGGACAACTTCTCACTTCAAAAAAGAAGAAGAAATCTAGATCGCAAAATAATTAAACAAGCGAATGCCTGTTTTTCCTGGCCAAGGACAGGTTCCTTGAACACAACACGAGCGTTAAGTATGGGCATAGATATGTCTCATAATTATTTGTGTGAACATAAAAATAATTTGTGTGTAAATATGTGATTTGTAAATGTAAAACAACATCCACAAATGCATTTAAAAGATTTGCAAACTCACAAATACATTTGCAAGTGTAAAACGGATCTGCAAATACGCTAAATATTTTCACAAATAAAAAAAGATCTGTGAATATCTCTAACATTTACACCTTTCGATCAGGCATTTGTGAATCCATTTTATATTTGTGGACCAAAAATGCGCTTGCGGATCTCAAATCTCTGTTCACGGATCTCAAATCTCTGTTCGCGGATCGTCTTTTTACACACACGGAATTTTGAGACATATTTTCCGCCGGTCACGGCTAAAATCTACTCGTGTCACTCGGTGTCACATTTTATTAATCGGCCTAATTTTACCTTACCAGTGCAGTAATAAAGTAATCTGTAGAAAAGCACCGTATTTAGGTCAGGGTTATGGTGATGAAGAATACATCTAACGTTCCGCTGTTCATTATAATACAAAAATAGAGCATTAAACAAACCATCATGCTCTTACTTTGAAATCATGCGGAAATGTCGTCATCAGCAGGCCATCACGTGGTTTCCGAAAATAACCGAGTGACACGAGTAGATTTTAGCCGTGACCGGCGGAAAATATGTCTCAAGATTCCGTGTGTGTAAAAAGACGATCCGCGAACAGAGATTTGAGATCCGTGAACAGAGATTTGAGATCCGCAAGCGCATTTTTGGTCCACAAATACAAAATGGATTCACAAATGCCTGATCGAAAGGTGTAAATGTTAAAGAGATATTCACAGATCTTTTTTTTATTTGTGAACATATTTAACGTATTAGCAGATCCGTTTTACACTTGCAAATGTATTTGTGAGTTTGCTAATCTTTTAAATGCATTTGTGGATGTTGTTTTACATTTACAAATCACATATTTACACACAAATTATTTTTATGTTCACACAAATAATTATGAGACATATCTATGCCCATACTAACGTGTCTTCACGTGGTTATGTCTCGTCTGAAAGGAGTGTAGAGTAGACACTAGAGTGCTGACGGAGAGCACCGGAACGCCGCTCCAGCTCTTCAAATATTGCAGTACCCATAAGGAGCCGTACACATGCCAAAGTGTTCGCGTGGCTGTGTCTTTAGTTGTAAGCACAGTGGCGATCTGTTGTTATTAGCATCTGGTTTGCTAGCTATGCTAACGAATTTAAAGAGCTTTTCTATAACCAGGTGGAAGAGAGCTCTCTCCTGAGAGGCTCAAATGAAATAACCTCAGCTCAGTGAGGTTAAGGCACACCTTGTTATGATCATTATAGTTATTAATGAGACATTAGAGACTAAATGAAAAACAGGTATAAAATACTATATGACAGTAACAAAAAAGTTGTTAAAAATAACAAGAATAGGCCTACAGTTTAAAAGGGGAGTGATTTGTAAAATATCCAAAAAGAAAAATCTGCTTACAGTTCTGTTTCAAATGGGTGTTGAGAGATGTATCCATATATCTCCTCATGTTGCTCTCAAAGTGCACCAGATTGATGCTTTTAACTTCAATATTTAAAAAAAAAATCTTCCCGGGGGACCATGCCCCCGACCCCCCTAGAGGAGGTTAGGTCCCCCCCACTTAAATCATGTTCACATGGATACTAAATACATTTGCACACCTCTTGTGTCCATATCTTTCTGTTTTGGTGGTCATGCCACAACCGTGCACATGCATGCATGCATGCGCGAGTCATGGTAAAATATCTGGTTTAAGAGGTTGCTTTTTCTTTGCACAGCATGAAAGAAAGGCCAAATAAATGGGCTGTGATTTTAGTTTTTTTAAGCAGATGTTGAGTTCAATCATTTGTACGGCCCTCGAGGATGTTGTAAAAATTGAAAGGAAAAAGGTTCCCCACCCCTGCTGTAAATAATAATAAAAACCCTTGATTTATAACTTAACATCTCTGTCTCCTATTGATCTGAGTATATTATAAAGAATAGCCAGTTAATTGAAGCATTATAGCACATTCCTTTGTCAGATGGTATATTACGCTGTTTTTTTTCTGCTTCGAATAGTTCTCTCTTTTTTCACCATACCTGTGTTTGCATCTCTGGTTTCTGTTGAACCATTGCGTTATTGCGTTACACATCTGACACACTCTTGTTGATGTGCTCTGCAGCAGACTCACAAATGTTTCCTTCTTTAATGCTCGTCTTTCAGGAGTCTTGAAAGGCAGAAGGAAAGAGAAACTTGGTGAGTGAATCATGGCAGCTCCAACATAATGGATTTGAGCCAGGGGCGTCGCCTGGGGTAGGCATCCGGGGCTTTAGCCCCGGATGTTTTTTCTTTAGCCCCGGACTAATTCTCCCTCAATAATATAATACATTAACCTACTTTACCTATAGGACGGACGGTAGAATTGTAATTTCCCATGTTCAGTGAATGCAACACAGAGGCAAAACGACGCCACCAGACCAATCAGGGAGTTATATGGAAATAAACGTGTTTTATTGGCTAACACCTCTCCTCTGTGACAATGTTTAAACTTTAAACTGTCAGCCCCGGACGCGGAGATTCTGAAGATGGACATTAGACATTTCTTTAATAAAAAAGACGGCAATTCTCAAGTGGTGGCTCACACAACAACCCCAGAGCCACCACCTGAGCCAGGTGAACAAGGTATGTACCTGTCAGTAAACTTACAAGTTATGCGAACATGTAAGCAAAGCATAAATTATAGCTACGTTGACGTTACTTTGAATCGCGCGGGGTAAGCTAAACCGTTAGCAAGTAGCTATAGCTAGCCAGATATATTAAATAAACACTTTGTCATACAATCTAAATGTTGTGTTTTTTTAGCGTTACTTGGTGATTTCAAAGAAAGCTCTCTGGGAAATGTTGACTTACTGTCTGTGTTCGACATGAAGCTAGAAGCTACCTTACAGTAGTACACAGTTGATCCTGATTCCTGAGTCCTGTCAGTTAAAGTGTTTCATAGTTAGCTTAGCTAAGCATCAACCTAGCACTGAAATATATATGGATGTTATGTGACAGTATTTCTGAGAAAAAGTCAGCTGAAATGGTGGCATAGTTGCCACTGCTTTGCGTGTCGACAGCATGTTTGAACGTATTTGCAGCAGTAAATGTGGCTGTCTGGCCACTGACGTTGCCATAACAACACCTGCATTTAAATGTGCAACCTCTTTTTGTGACAGATTTTGCATGAAAATATAATTCTTCTGATTGATATTTCCTATTGACAGCTAGTTTCTATGTGAACATTATGAGATGGACAGCCAGCTAACAAGCTTTTTATACAAATATTTCAGATCAAAGCCAATCCAGTGGGGCTCCTGAAAGGGAGCAAGGGACACTATGCTCCCAAATATTAAGCCTTGACCCGCATCTTAAAATTGATATGATCAAAAAATGATCTGCATTGTCGGAGGCCTTTTTTCCTCATTATCATGTCAAATTGTACAGCTTTCCTTAGTGTTGAATGCAGAAAGATGACTATATTAGAGTATTAAGTGAAAATGACTATATTAAAGTTTTAAGTAAATATATTAAGTGAATTACTCAAACTGCATTTGTATAGGAATGATTATGTCCTATTGGCAGACACCTACTCTTAACAGTGATATCTACAAGAGGTTTCCAATGTAAATTTAACTATTTTCAATTGGTTAGTATTACATTTTGTGACAGTGTGGTGACACTCATTTTAATGAAGACAAATGTGTGTATCTTGAAATTCATTTATTTGACAGAGCTGGAAACTGATTGACTTACATACTTGTTTATGTTTACCTACACAGTCATCACACATGAGCCAAACAGAGTAGAGGATGAAGAAAAGGGAACAGGAGAAAGGGACACACAAGAAGGAGATACAACAGACAAGAACGACAATGGAGACAACAATGAACAGGAACACCAGAACAGACGAGTCAATGGGTAACATGACTGATTTAGGGACTGCAGATACAGGGCCAAGGCAAGTGAGACATCACTGCTTTCCATTTGGCCAGCAAAAGAGATAATCTCAACCGCAAACAGCAAGAGATGAGGGATTATTATTTCCTCCTTCCATCCCTTTTTTCTGTTTAATCTGATTACTAACAACTTCTAATAATTTGACATAGTTTATGATTTAATTGGAAAATGAAGTGTTTTTAAATAATAAACCCGTTTCTGATTCTTTGATTTATTTTTGACATATGGGTGTTGAGAGATGTATCCATATCTCTTAATGTTGCTCTCAAAGTGC